AGTTATTATGCACCGAACATTTTAAATCTCAAAGACCGAAACCGAGTTAGGTTGCATTCCCTATGCTGGAAACGCACTAGCTCCACAGCCATTTTCCATGGTGCACTATGAAAGAAAGTGAAAAATAATTAGCAGAAAGAAGGCAGTGAAGGGTATAATTCTCTCACGATTTAACAAAAAAGATGGTGAATAGAAATGCATTCAATAATTTGTGCAATTCGTTGTCATGACCACATCATACAATATACAGCTACAATTACTGAGATTATTGACTATTCTATATTATTATTGAGTTATTATAAAATGGATCATTTTAATATCGCACGAATTTATTGACCGCTAATTGCAGAGTAACAAGTACTCTAATGGTGCTACTTATAAATGTTTAAACGTTTGGACAGGATTAGGGTATATATTCATGTGGAGCACACATTAGAAAGTTTATCATGCTAGTTAAGGCAAGTTTGCACATCTTAGCATAAAATTCCACAACAATTGACTTCCATGAGATTAGGATTCTTCGGAAATTTGTGCACCACATAACCCTAATAGCATACAATTATCAGTCTGGCTCATTGTTTCCAACTTCTAGACTATCGTGATCTTGAATATTGTAGAAGATGTTAATACATCTTTCAGAATTATGACATACCCTCTTGCTTATCCATATTCTTTCAGAATTTTGCACCAATTAACAGAAAGGTTGTCTTCAGGTTAACTCTACTAAAATAAAACATACTAATGTCGGTGTTTTAAATGTCGGTCGCCATGTCAGACATGGTGACCGACATTGCAGGTACGAGGCTCAGCTGATATGACATCTTGTATTACAATGTGTTTGATGTTTTGTGGGTGAAATGTGATTTGCTTCAAGACATATGAGACATGTCAGATGAAATTGCAGCCACAAAATGTTGGGCAATTTGTTTTTTTTAATTAAGTTAACAGCTTAGGTTTTTAACTTAAAAATCATATCTGAATTTAAATTGATCTGGGGGTTTAAGATCAAAACCCAAAACTGAACTTAAGTTGAATGCTCTAACTTAAGTTTGGGTTTGCATTTTGATCTCAAAAACCAAACTCGATGGGGATGTAAGCTTAGGGACTGTTTGGTTCATTTCCAAAAAAATTATGGAAATGGAATCTCACACAAGAAATGGAATCTAAATTTTTTTAGGATATCTAAGAGTAGGTTATCCAAAACTCATGTTTGTTTCATTTTACACAAATTAGGAAAGCATATCTAAAAATGAGTTTTTTTGTGTTTGTTTCAAAACCATGGAAAGAACCCAAAAAAGTTTGATTTAAACATACATGTGGTAGAGTTACCACCCATTAGAAGACAAATACACCAAATATGCGTTGAAGGCAACAGCTACATAAACGGCTAGTAGGAGTTGCAATAGAGCCTATAAATATTTCAGCAGCATACTAACATAAGTTAGTTCATTTCAGTAATTTTTTAAGCAAGAATATCCTGGAGTAGAAAACAGAGCAACCTTGCTACTACAGTGAAGATGGAGCTGAAATGTGATAGCAAACAAGCAATTGACCCATATGAAGTGAAGTGCAAATGTAAGCTTCCGACACCCTTGAAGCTATGTGCAAATGGAAAAATAAAGGGAGACATTATTGGGGTTGTGCTAAGTTCCCAAATAAAGAATGTAACTTCTTTCAGTGGGCTCACAAAGAGGGTGATTGCAGAAATAGAAATCAAGTATCACAAAATGAAGACATTCTTGAAGATAAAAAGTTAGTGAAAATCAAAAGATTGAAGAGAGAATTGAAATCAGTAGAGCATCAACTAATCATTTAGAAAATGAGTGTATTGTTTTTAGTCATAATTTATGTACTCATCATTATCTTTAAAAACATGCCGTGTAGTTGCAAAATGTATTGAGATATGAAAGGAAATTTTCATGATTGTTAAACAATGGAGTATAAGGCTCAGATTAAAGTCATATTATCAGTATAAGATGTCTCGCCTAAATATTTTAATTCCATTATAGATTGCCTACACATAATGGTTGCCTCATCTAAAAATTACATGAGCAATTTAGATTGCATTCTCATTATGGTATGCCTTATCTAAATAATAAAATTGCAATATAGGGTGCATTAACAAAAATGACCAATTATTATTGCGTAATGCAAAAATCCCAAATTAACTTATGAAAATCATTATAACTTGTCCACAAATGAGGAACCAAAATTTGAGAGAATGATCATACCAATAGACACTAGTTTAGTTCTCAGATGAGGAACCAAAGTTTGAAATATAGCCATACCAATACACACCAAAGTCTGTAGATTGCTATCTTTATAACTTGTCCATAGATCATAGCATCATGTCTCATGAGAATAGATGTGAAAAAAATAGCATGCATTTGTACGCTAATAACTTGCACATGATAAAGACCAATCATATTGCTAAGCCTGATCATAAACAGAGCATGAAAAAAGCAAACAAGGAGCTTAAAACTACTTAGAGTCTGAACTGAAATAGATAATATATCATAAACAGAGCATAAGTAGGCAAGATACGTTGAGCTAAAACTGCTCAGAAGCTGAAACTGAAGCAAATATTGAGCTAAAACTTCTCATAAGCAATGTTGAAACTGAAGCAAACAATGAGATGAAAAAACCTTATAATTTGAACTGAAACTAAAGTAAACATTGAGCTGAAACTGCTCATAATCTAAGCTAAAATGCTCATTATCTTAGCTGAAACTGGAGCAGAAACTAAAGCAAATTATTGAGCTAAAACTAATCATAATATGACCTAAAAATGCTTATAATCTCAGCTAAAACTGGAGCTAAAACTGAAGTTAAACTGAAGCAAACAGAGAGCACAACCTGAACATAACCAGAGAGCAAACGAAGTATTGTCTCATAACCTGATCATAAGCTGTTCATAACCTTTTGCATAAGCTGATCATAAGCAAACAGAGAGCACGCCATTATACTTATCATAAGCTGTTCATAACCTGATCATAAGCATAGTTTTACAAAATTACATAGCAGTTGCATCATGAAAATAAAGGCAACGTATTGTCAATCTTCTTTGTCAAATCCATTTTCCTGGATAACCTTCTCTATGAAAAGTTTTTGCACATTATTTGATTTGATAACGAACCTCCTAGATTCTGATTCATTATCATACAAAAAATCAAGAACTTTATCCAGTATTGTCTCAGAGAAATTAGTCTCATGTGCTAATAAAGCCTTGGCAATGCTCTCACTCCAATGTAAAATATGTTGGTTTTGAATTGAATAGGACATGGACTCGATGAGATCACGCAATGCTCTCACTCCAATGTAAAATATGTTGGTTTTGAATTGAATAGGACATGGACTCGATGAGATCACGCATTAGTGAATCATCATCTTTACCCTTGTTGGTTTTGAATTGAATAGGACATGGACTCGATGAGATCACGCATTAGTGAATCATCATCTTTACCCTTGTCACTCTTCTTTTTTGATTGAGATTTGACATTGGATGTAGAAGTTACCCGCTAGATGACTTATTTTGAGACTGAATGTTAATCTTTTCTACACTTGGTATCTCAGTCTTAAAATGTGTGTTGGGGGACTCATCATTATCATTTTCACAAAGATTTATTGGTTCCTCAGAAAATTCAAGAGGCCGACTAGAATTAAGTTTCTTACACATATCTTTGGCCAAATTTCCCCTTGCTTGGTCATCACCAACAATCGCACACAAATCATCATAGTGAGTGAGAGGCGTGTTCAAGTACTCCTTCAACTTTGAGCTATTACACTCATTGTCATGTATAGTAAATTAATGTAAGAAAAAAAATCAAGCTAAATATAGTTGTATAGAAATAATGCAAGATAAATATTCAAAATATTAATCAATACCTTTGTCCACATATCAAATGAATCTGGATCCATGGTCACAATTTTTGTCTTTGGATCATATTGGACACCACTCATGTTCATGACAATTCGCATATCAAAAAACTTAGTCTTCAAGCTCTTCATATGGTTCATCACATTTTCTTTACTGAATTCAAATCCACATTGCTTGTTGACCTCTTCAGCAGCCACCTTGTATGCATGCATTTTAAAGTTCTTATCAACCTTGAGACCATCTCTTCCCAACTGAGCAAGAATAGAGATTAGAACATCATCATGCCTTGCATTCCAATACATGTTAGGTGTACCCCTAGTATTTGGAGCCTTGTTCATAATTGTTGATGGAATTCTTCTTTTAGCAATTACTTTTTCTTCTTTTTAATTAGTGAGATTGCCTCGACATCAACTTCAATATCTTTCTTCAATGAAAGACTCTCTCCAGAGTGGGTACCACTGTTATGCGGGCTAGGGGTTGCATAGATAATTGGGTGGCTATTAAGCATATTCGTATATGACATAGGTTGTTGAGTCATATATGGAAAATTGTTGTCATAATGAGAGTAAGATGGATAAGGAAGGAGAGGAGCAGAGTAGGGTGCATGAGGGAATGACATGAAGTTCATGTTCAAGTTTGAAGGAGGAATTCTACGGTTTTTAGGGGAAGGAGTAGCTTCACACTCATTACTTTTATCAACATCAACAAAATCAACCATACTTTGAAGAATAAAGCTCCTGTTACACCAAAATCACATAATGAAAATATAAAATCAAACAAACATTGTGAAACTTAAGAAATACAATAAGTCCAAAGATCAAACTTAAGAAATGCAATAAGTCTAGAGATACTAATGTCAATTACAAGCCAATTTTGGTTGTGTCTCCACCATGATACTTATTATAATACTCTACCCACATAGCACTTGCAATTTCGTCCCTCTTCTCTTTCCATTCATTCCTTGAATCTCTTTCTTCTCTTTGTGTCATATTTTGAGTAAAGTCGACAACATTGTCATCTTCACCCTCATCTTGAATCTCTTTCTTCTCTTTGTGTCATATTTTGAGTAAAGTCGACAACATTGTCATCTTCACCCTCATTAGCTATTTCTCCATCATCATCATCAAATATTTTGAGTAAAGTCGACAACATTGTCATCTTCACCCTCATTAGCTATTTCTCCATCATCATCATCAATAGTAATGTCCTCATTCAATAAGTCATCGTCAGGATCGACTATAGCAATATAGTTATGAAGTATAGTACAAGTCAAAGCTATATCAACTTGGGTTGGAAAAGGATAATGTGGCTTTACAGTGAGGATTTTGAAACGATTCTTCAATAATCCAAAGGTTGATTCAATTTTAGACCTTAGTGATGATTGCCTTAAATTGAATAACTCACTTCTGTTATTTATTGGCGTACCCATGTGCTCATTTAAATGGTAACGTACACCACGATAAGGGGAAATGAAGCCAGGCATGGTTGTGTACCCCGCATCACACAAATAATATTTGCCTATAATTATAAACAACACATTATAGTAAATAGATATATTTTTATAAATTATAATTGAATATTCATTTTAGTGATTAATGATTAATTATCATCGTAGACTCTCAGCCCATGAGGTTGAAGTCTTGAAAGCGCATCTTGTAGTACTCTATAATCATTTGCAGATCCCTCTCATCCAGCTAGAACGTACGAAAATAACTTATTTGGAGTGCATGCGGCTAGAACATTTTGAGTTACACCTTTACGGCCTCTAAAGCGGGCAACAAGTCTAGCGGGAAGCATGACGTCAATGTGGGCTCCATCTATCATGCCAATACAATCCTATATAATGTATGAAAATTACTATTTTTCATAGAATAACAAAGTTCATTTGTTCAATGCGTGTTATGTGAATGAGCTCATTATCTTGAAATAAGGATAGTACAAAGGATTGTTTGCAATCTCTAGCGCCAATTCCTTTGATGTTTGCTTCAGGAACTACCCCCTTATACGACCAACTGCTTCTAGGCATTTGTTAAAATATCTAGAAATTGTTTCTCCTGGTCTTATGAAATGTGATCTAACTATTCTATTTTTTGTTTTATGTCCTAATATATTAAGGAACATGATCAATTGTTCTTCTACTTTAACATCATGTGAATCATGTAATAGGCCTGTAACTCTCATTATTCTAACAATATTTTCAAATGCATGCAGCCTCATTCTAGCATAATCTCAACATCTTTGACTATAGCCAAAAAATACACGGTATATGTGGGCATTTCTAGACTCTATCTTTTGTTTTTTCCCCTTCCTATGGTGATAAGTGATAGATTTTCTTCTAGAATGCATTATCATTACACATTTCAACACAATCACGATGGCAGACATAGTAGCATTACTCATATCCTTATTAACGTTTCCTCATCAATATCATCCATTTATAATGATTGAAAAATACATTCTTAAACATATGCAAATGCTTAAACTCAAAGCAATTTCTAAAACTTAGCTGTTATAAAGTTTAGTCAAATTATCTAAGTAAATCAATATATGTTATTATCAATCACGATATCATATTGCACATGAAATCATAGTGTACCAATATTTTGAGTTAGCCGCCTATGTATATACAAAAGTCATCAAGTAAAGATACATATGTAAAAAAGTAAATAAAAAATAAAAATTAAAGATGGTCTGACCATAGAACAAAAAGGAGTCAGTACGTAACTATCAATCATAGATAATAAGACAAAGCTTTGATTCATTCAATTATACTGTTTCATAAACAATAATAAAATAAAATGAAGGAAAGCAGATGATATTGAAGTGTAAATTGTTAGTTGGAAGCATTGGATAAACTAGTCCTATTGTAAAAGCTTTCCACAGGACACGTAACTTGTTTTGAAGATTTGTGATGATTTTAATGATACACATTGCAGCTTAAAACACAAAGCAAATCAAGATCTTCAAAATTTACCAAGATCACGGTATAGAATTTCTTTCAAGAGGAACATAGATTGTATATTTTTCATCAATTCTATATACTTACTCCATGTACAATACTATGAAATCACACAAAGTGAAAGTACTCAAGGAAACAAAAGAAACACTTTATCAAGTCACGATTGAAACAATCCTCAACCAAAAAAATTAGAAAGTAGAGAAAGGTTATACATTTGCTTTGTTAAGGAGCAGATCCGAAGGCCCAGAGGTGAAATTTTATAGTAAGAAACCCTAATCAAGAAATCAAGCCTTCAGATCTAAAGAAGAGAACATAAAGGAAGTCCCGACTATACCTAACTCAGAGAAGGTTGCCTCTAAGAACAATGACGGCATGTATCATGAAAACCCCCAAAATCAAAATATCCACTTCTTTATAAACCCCAAAAAATCATAAATTTCTTCTTGAAATCAATAGCTAGAGTTCGTATAAGAGGAAGGGACCACTTTACACCTTTTTTATGGCCGATTTGAGCAGATTTACCTCCAAGTTTTTGATAAAACGGCGGGAAGTGGAGGAGAGAAATGGAAAGGAGGATGGAAGGAGAAGATAGACGGTGAGTGTAATGGGAATGAGATTCCAACTTTTATCACGTGAAGAGAAAAGAGGAGAGAGGAAACGCTGAGCTGGACAACCTGTCAGAAATTTTAGCTCATTTCCGAGCTAAAAGAGAGGATTTGGGCTATAAAAAAGTTTTTGTTTTCTCTTTTTTAGAAATTTTTTCTTTAAAAAAATAAAACAAATCCAAGTTTTGGAATCCTATAATGGCCCAAAGTTTACTTTTTGTTCCAAAAAAAACTAGTTTCCTAAAATTTTGGCCCAAACAAACAGCCACTTAGAAGAAATTCAAAGAAGGTATGAGTTCTCTTCTAGGGCAAAAACATGGGCTTCCACTTCTCTCTCTCTCTCTCTCTCTCTCTCTCTCTCATACTGGGATTTTGACAAAATTTTTGACAAGATCTTTTGTCTAAAGGGGATCTCGACAAAGGGAATCAACTTAGATAGCCAAAGCTAGGGTTTTGACTTTTGAGGAAGCTAGGGTTTTGAGGTATGTAATCATTATCTCTCTTTTGCTCACTACTACTACTATTACTTCTTCTTCTTCTTCTCCTTCTCTCTCTCTCTCTCACCTCTTCGTTTCCTATTCATCTTTGATTTTTGTGCAAATGGGGTTTGTCCTGAACGGAGCTTCAATCTAAGCCATTGTCATCTTTGTTTCTTGACAAAATGAGCTAGTCAATGTCTTTATTTTCCTTGTCAAACACACTACACAAAGTCGAGCTCTATATCAATATATTTTTAGGTGTCAATTAAAATGAAAACAATGATCAATTAGGGCTTTTTGAGCATTTTGTTAAAAAATTATAATTTGTTTATTGGTGAAAACAATTTCTTTGGATAAATTTTTCATGTCTTTCATATTTTAGTTGGGTTATTTAAATGCATGATTCATAATTATTTGATTTTTCATTGTAAGATTTCATGTTTGTGTGATGCCCCTGGTTTCACACAAGATTGCAGTCCAAGGTGAACCCAAGAATGTCAAACCTACAATGCACCCAACACTGTGTAATAACATGTTTTACCATCACAGTAATATCTCTCTAATGGAATCAAATAAAAACAGTGCAGGTACAAGCAGATATAGGAAAGGTAAGAATATAAGGGACACCATAAGAAGAAGAGATATCATAATAACTAAAATCATATTCCAATAGTATTAATAACAAGTCTCAACTAAAGAAAAAGATATACGTCCAATAAACCGAAATAAGAGTAAATAATCTCAAATACAAGAGTCAACTGAAAAGTACTTAGGCTCTCAGCCTTTAAAATGAAATACAAGTCTATAAATCAACTAAACAACTACTAGTCCAATGTGGAGTATAAGGTGACTATTAAGAAATGACGACGACTATACAAAAACTCTGTCAACCTATGGCTCTTCAGAACTCTGACCTGCTGCCTGAAAAGAGGAAAAAATCAATAGCGTCAGAGCACTAGCAAGATCATCTCCATCCGCCCCAAGGGCAAGGGCTACTGTAGAGCCCCGTAAATTTATTAATGAATATATTGAGTTATTAGTGGTAAACTATTCTTTTGAGATGAATAACCATATATATATGTTAAATAAATGTGATAAATAGTGTTTGGGAGCCTAGCAAGAATTTCTATGTTAGAGAAATCAAGGGGATTGATCAGCATGTGATAGAAGGCATAGCAGGCAGTTGTTCTGCTGTGCGGTCGACCGCGATGTGCGCGGCGGTCGACCGCACAGCAGTCGGGCACACAGGAGACTTTTCTCCTGCTGTGCGGTCGACCGCGCAAGGCGCGGCGGTCGACCGCACAGCAGGCAGAGAGTTTTTCTGTGTTGAGTCTTAATGGGTTTCGGGTCGGGGTCGGGTCGGGTTGTGGGGTTAGTATATATACTATCATACCCTAAAGAGCCCCATTTTCTCATCTGAAATCAGAACCCTAGCCCCCCCTCTCCCCCTCAAACCCTAGTTCTCACTTCTTGGTGATTTGGGAGAAGCCTTGAAGGGATTTCCAGCGAACTCTTGGTGGATTCAGCGTGGGGGGCCATCTTCCTTCAGATCTAGGGCGTTGTTTTCATCAGATAAGGTTTGGGATTTTTGATAATGAGGTTTTAACCATTTAAACTTGTTGTTTATTGCCATGGTTCACTATTTAAATGTTAAAGTAGAGTGAGTATAGAAATCCCCAAATTTTTGAATGAGTTCGGTAGCTGACAGAACCCAGAACAGGGTTCTGTCCGCCCTGCGGTCGATCGCATCGGGATAAGCGGTCGACCGTCGCGAAATTTTTCCAGCAGAAACGTTTCTGCCCTTTCAGCGGTCGATCGGCGTGATCTCTGTGGTCGACCGCCGCTCAGTTTTGAGCCTAGTGACTTTCGACTCTGCGAGCGGTCGACCGGAGTGATCTCTGCGGTCGACCGCCTTGCAGTTTCATCTGCATGTTGATATTTTTCTTTTGCTGTTCTTTTCGTGTGCTTAAGAGTTCATCTCTTATGCCTCGCACTAGATTGTGATGTTAGTAACTTACCGATACATGGGAATTGAATGATACGAATTTAGACCCGCACATTGAAACACGTGCACAGTTGGGACATGTATATGTATTTCCACATATGCTAGTGAGAATTTCACTTCTTCGTTCATAGTCCACGTGTTGAGCATGCATTATTATTGATCCATGTGTTGGATACTTGTCATCTTGGTCCATGTGTTGGACATGCATTTTATTTCAGTCCATGTGTTGGACCTGCACCCCTTTTAGTCCATGTGTTGGACATTTTTGCTAAACCTTGAGCATGGTACACATTTGAGTTTGGGACACGACATTTTTGATACCGATAAGACATGATAGCTACCTAGGCTGAGTATGACGCTTATGCAGAACACGGCATGGTATTTATGTAGGTCAGTACAAGGTACTGTATTTATGTTCTGAGATGGGTTGTATTT